TCACAGTGTGACACACCTGCAGTGTGAGTGAGGTCAGAGTCAATCCTTCTGGGTTGGACACACTTGCTGCAGATGTATGACGTTGGCAGCCGGAGGGTTTTTCCTCCAGGCAGCGGCCCCCGCTCTGCCACAGCAGCTTCAGGTCACCTTCCTCTTCCTGTAGGCTCTGGTCCTGGGTACAGGTAGTACTGCTGCTCCTCCGGGACACTGAAGTTAAAGGTCTGTCCTTGTCCCACCTGGACCAAGGACAGACCCTTTGCTGTAGGGAGAGTCTGGTTTAGGATTTTGTTTTAGGATTTTCATCTTTCATTAAAAGATAAATCACAGAACAGATTCCAACACACCAACAGCTTCATGACAAACTCTTACCACTGAGTCCTCAATTTATTCAAAGAGCTGGATGTTGGTCTGAGCCATCAACCTGGGGCCGGCCAGCACTGCCTCTCTGATGCCACATGATCCTGGAGACTGAATGACCAGCGAGTCCTCACGGTCCCTCTGGACCACGTGGCCACCGCGTGAAGACGCAGAGCCGGTTGCAAACGGCCTCCACCAGGCGGCTAACACTGGCCCAGTTAGCAGGGCCCGAGTTCAGTCCAAGAAGACAGCTGAAAGATCATCAGAGAGCAGCGTGTGTTAATATAGATCTGATATTCATTAGAGGAAACAGTGATATCTGAAGTGACTCTCACCTCTGGAGACTCTCCTTCCCAGGACAGGAGGTGTTCTTCCCCGTCACTGCCTTGAACTGTCACCTGGGCTGCCTCTCCTGGTCTCTGGGAGGGAAGACACCTCGCTCTTCCTCCTGCTCTGTCTGGCAGGTGTTGCCAGGAGTTTGGAAGTACTTGGCACTGGCTTAAGGAAAAAGGTTTTGGATCAAAAATGAATTTTATGTTTGCATGATAATACACAATATACTGAATCACAAGCTCTGAGACACACGCATGTACCTGGGATGAAGTGGTTAAGGTAGAAACCAGAAGGCTGACCCCGCCCCTCTGTCAGTCTACCAGTCTCTGTACAGCTGCACCTGCTGGGTCCTGAATGCAGCTGGTGGCTCCTCTGTGTCTCCATATGTCCTGGATGCAGAGAGAATCCAGCAAAGAGACGTCCCGGGTGACGTGGAGATCCTGGATGAGGAGGACGTCTCCTCTGCCCCATGTGTCCTCCTCCATCAGTGGAGCCTCCACTCCTCCCTGAGATCCTGGAGGGAGAGAGACAGAGAAAGGTGACTTTACTACACTTTCTGCCATCCCATGGGCGCCCACACATTCTACTCTGCAATCTTATATATTGTTAAATTCATTCATCAATGAACAATGGCAGCAATGCTAGCACTAATGAAAACAGGGGGGGGGGGCAGCTCTATATTCTGTATGTGCACATGTACATTGCTGCTATTATCATCATTTATTTATTGTATCTCTTTGTTAGAATTATAATTGTAATCAATGTCATTATAGTAGACAAGAAGCTAATTGTGATGCTCAGTGCTGCTGCATGTGGCAGCAAGCTAGCCCCACCCCTCTGTCCTTTCTGTCTGTTTTATTCACTGTGTTCTGGTTCTACATGTTTTTTTTCATCAATAAAGAAATAAAAAATAAAAAAATAAAAATAAAAATTTGGTTCAAATTAGGCTCAAAATGATTTTGATCTTATAAAGTCATGTTCACAAATAACTCCAACAGTTGTAGTTGGAAATCAAACTTTGTAAACCTGGAAAATAAATCTGCAGGAGAAATTCAAGTTTGTGCACGTGAGAACAAATTGTGCTTGTGGCAAAGAGATTTGTATTTGTTGAGACAGTGTGAATCAAACTGAACTAATGATCAGTGGTGAGGTTGAACACAGACACAGGAGAAGAAGAAAAGCTTTGTGGACGTCTGTAGAGAGAAAGAGCAGAAAACTAAAACTCAGTGAGCAACATTCCCAGTGAGAGACACTGACAAGGACAAAGTTTGATCCTCGTCCCTTCAGTGTCACTGTGGGAACTTTTGACCAGTTTCACAGTTTTCTTCTCTGTATCACGACACAGATGTCAACAAATCCATTTCTTCTTTTAATGTCTTTGTTCAACCTCAACACTGATCGTTTGTGGAGTTTTGATTCAGACTTTCAACAAATACAAATCTCTTTGACACAAGTTCAACTGTTTCACAAGCACAAACTTGAATTCCTCCTGCAGATTTATTTTCCAGGTTTACAAAGGTTGATTTACAAACTACAAACACTGGAATCATTTGTGAACGTCACTTTACAAGCTCTAAATCATTGTGACCCTGATTTGAACCTGGGTACATGTAGTTACAGTAACAACAGTTTTAGTTTTAAAAACATCTGCTCACTAACACACATCTGTCAGCATAAAGCAGGCTGTTACACCTTACCTGGCTGTGGTTTAACTGCTACTTTACTATCTGCAGAGCTTTGGTTGGTGAAGTGATAAACAGCTGTTACTGAGCAGTTCCTCATTACACCATCACTACATCACAATAAGTTCCTGAACAAGTCAGACACAGCACGTTTCCAAACAACTATTTTAATTGTAATATTCAAGCCAAATATATTAATAATCACATCCACGTCATTTTCTGATGCCGTCGTGATGATGACTTAAATGTAATAAACAGAATTTCATTTTAACATTTTGTAGTTTAAATCATCGGGAGCATGACTTCCTGTTTCTTGCTGGTTTGGGCGACAGCAAGGTGTGGTTCTGGCCTGAGGTGGATTCTGCCGTCACATGACATATAAAACATGGAAGGAAGAATAAGGACATGTTCAGCAGCTGCTCTTTTGACTATGAAATGTTTGAAGCATTCTAAGAACTTCACAAAGTAAAAGATGCATCAATCATCATTTAGCATATACTGTAATAAAAACAAGACTTGATGAATAAATCTGAACAAATGAGACATGTGAAGAATTTGTAGAAGATTTCTATTTATCTATAAAAAATAAAAAAACATTAGTGGTGAAGCAACACAGACACAGAGAGGAAGAGCTTCTGTCAATGTGTGTGAACACATACAAAACACAAAACTGTAAAACCTCAAAATTCCTGCGAGTGTGTGACACTGAGGTTACTGGTGGAGCTTAAATTCAGCTGTGAAAACTGGATCTAAATACTTGTAACCTCAGTGTCACAGACTTGCAGATTTATGAAGGGGATACTGCAGGAGGGGGGGGGGGGGGGGGGGGGAAGTCTGGGGCGGGGCCCGTTGGAGAGGACAGGTTACTGGAGCTGAGGAAGGGCGGAGGCGGAGGCGGGAAGGAAGGAGAGCTCGGAGACTCCACACTGCCGGCCTTGGTGAAGGGGGGCACGGTGACCCTGGTGAAGGGTTTGTGCGAGGTGGGAGGAGACATCGGGGAG